TATCCAACGATTCGGGTAATTTAAATTAAGCCACCGCCTAACTACTACAGTGCTGTGAGCAGGAGCCCCGTCATGCATGTACCACATGGCCTGACGTACATTTAATGGTACTTCCTCCAGAAGTGGTGGTAGATGCTCATTTAAGAACTGCAAATATTCAACAGCACCAAGTCGATGAGGTAAAACAAAAGGGCCGACAAGCACATTTTCTACAATTCCTGCCCAAATGTTTAAACTAAAATTATGTTGAAATGTTGTCATAGATACTTCGTGAGGATTTTCATGAGCCCAGGAATGAAGATTGTGCATATTGGTTAAACCATGTCTTTGAAAAGTTGCTTCATCTGTGAAAAGTATCTTTGAGGCAAAATTCAAATTATTTCTTAGAATATTAAGATACGATTCGCAAAAAACAACTCGCTTATGCATGTCTGGTTCAAGTAGAGCTTGAACTGGCCGGTGGTGAAAAGGATATAATAAATTATCATGGACAATATTCCAAACAACACTATGGGACACATTTAAGTGCATTGCTGTTTTTCTCGTACTAGTCTGACGATTTTCGTCAAACTCTTCAAGTACTGCATCCTCAAGATAAATAGTACGAACAGTAGGTCTTCGGCCGGTACCCTCAATATGCGGCTGTATTTTTCCAGTTTCCCGAAGTCTTCGTTCTACCGCCGAAAAAGTTTGTCTGTGGGGAACTTGACGATTTGGATATCTCTCATTATACGCTCTTGTTGCCGCAGCACAGTTTTTGCGACATTCAAAATACACTTGTAGCATGTCCACATATTCATCATTAGTAAAATTTGGCATAATTCTTGTTAATTTACACCCAAAAAGTATTTAGCTGATAACAGTGACAACTTACAGAAGAGTTAATTGTGACAACTGGCATGACAGCAGCACACTTAGTTTTTCTTTGATTGATTGCAATCATATACGGTGTGAGGTGAATGGTAATACATTTTATTTTTTTATTAATAAACGAAAAGTTTTAAAGGAAAATTGCTAGAGAGGTAAAAGTTTCTAAAAGAACCAGTTTATCTAATGCGTATTTTTGGATATCGAGTTTTTACGAAATATAAAAGTTATGGCAAAAAATGGCTTGAGGGGTGGTTATTTCAACCCCTTTCGAGGGGTTAAAATTTTCGAAAAATAGTTGAAAACTCGCATCTGTATTAGTAAACAACCTGTAAAAAATTTGTTATTTGTACCTCGTTCGGTTTTCAAATTACAGCCAATTTTCATAATTTTTTTGGAAACTTTGATGGCCCATATCTCTTCAGGGGTGAACATTTTACTAAGGCGATTTTTTGCAGATCGTGTTCTTTTGAAATGTAGATTCACCGGTATCATTTATGCTACTCCATTCAAAAATACCCTGTATTTTAATATTCTGAAAATAACGCAGAAAATTTCAAGACGCGCCCTTACCGCGGTAAATTGTAACAGATCTTTATTGGCTTACTCTTTTCTTGGAATTCTATCTCAACAAATAGTATTCGGAGTGTACATACAGTGCGTCCAATTAAGTCGGCACCATATGAGATGCTATTTTATTATTGGTTTTATGAAAAAATGTTATTCTTGATAAAAAGTTCTGCATAGTCTAAAACTCAAAATGAAATAATCAAGTTTCAATTTATTGCAGTCGTATACGAGGCTTGTCGAAAAATATAAATTTTGTACAAGAGTACTTTTATTTATTTTTTACAATATCGACAATCGTTAAGAAAAGCTGATCCTAATAGAAACTACGGTCATATATCCAATATTATCCATCTACCATTAAAAACAATCTTTAATAATTTTTGGGTTATAAACATAGGAAATAAACAAATAAATTATATTTAATTTTTGCAAATTATAAAACATTTATTGTATCAAATTCATTGGTTTGTCAGTGCATCCTAGATTTAATGTCGATCTCTAGAAGTAAATTGTCAATGCTAATACAAAGAGATTGTAAAAATAACAAAATCTGTTTTTTAATGGTAGCTAGATAATATTAGATAACTGATCGTAGTTTTCTATTAGAATCAACTTTTCTTAATAATGATTGTCGGTATTGTAAAAAATAAAGGTAGGTACTTTACTCTTGAACAAAATTTACATTCTTCGACAAACCTCGTACACGACTACAAAAAATTGAAATCTGATTATTTCATTTTGGGTTTTAGACCATGCAGAACTTTTTATCAAGAATAACTTTTTTTCATAAAACCGATAATAAAAAAGTATCCCATATGGTGCCGACTGAATTGGACACACTGGATATTTAATGAGATAGACCTCAGTGTACTTAGAAAAGTGGCTGTCGCTTTCTGCTATTAATTTTCACAATTGTTAAACAGGGCAACATATTTATTTTGTTTTGCACATCTAATTACGTATTTCTTTTAATTTGAATGGCAAAGCTAATTATGATATTAGTCGTTACAAATTATGACATTAATAAAAACCAAACACTTTATCATGACAAAATAAAACATTTTAACCATACACGTGTGTTAAAAGGTATGAGATCAATAAGTATTATAACCTTGCTTTTCTCCGAGTTTCAATTTGTTATATCTAAACAACAACAAAAATGCAGAGGTCTTATTGTTAAATAGAAGAATATTTATAACCTGTCTTAAAAAACAACTGCGTTATTAATAACTATCTTCTTTAAATTGTAGCTTTAAAATCCTGAATATTGAAAAAACGGCGCCTAATAAAGAAATGTCAACTACGTTGCGTTTTTTTTTGCCTAAATAATTTGTAGTTAATAGTTGAACCTTCTTTTTTATAACGGTCTGTATTAATATTCTGAAGTCAATTCTTATTTTAATAACATTGATTAAGAAGAACAAACGAAATTGTAATCATGTGATTTTCGGTAAGAGCTGTAAAAGTATGGCTGTTTCTATATGCTGAACGAATTAGGTATACAGGGATGGCCAGAAGTACGGAATAAAATTCAAATCTTTTGAATGAGTTAATTTTTTTTAAAACGCCGAAACACGTTAACTGATTTTCCCATCTTTCGGTTATATAATAATTAATTTTTCTTCAACCCCCTAACCCCCAGCTACCCCTACTTTTTTTCAAATGGAAACATAAGGCATGAGAGTGCTCGTTGAAAAGCTTATAGAAAAATGAATCCAGCCATACTAAATAAACAAGTTTTATTTTTTCAATAGCAAGGTTTTTAGGGTTGTATAAAACACCTACTTAACAAGTGAAATAAAATTTAATTATCTTCAGTGTTATCCTCCATGAATTTGCACAGAATAAAATAAAGAATTTGAAACTGTACCTATCACTGCTAACGCAAAAAAGATATATTTTTTATGTTGCGTTTTTTTGGCACCACTTACTTGCCAGGCTTTCTGGTTAATTTTTCGCTTTAGTTGTAAATTGGAGTTCGAAACGTTACTATTGTGTCAAAATCAAGTTATTTACTGAATTGCAATGGTATTGTCGGAAAGGCAACGCATCGAAATCTTGATATTGCTTGGATGTGGAGACAAAATAAGAAGTCAGGCTGAAGTGCGCGATTTATTTAATGCGAAATATCCCGAAAACCAAATCTCGCAAGGGACAGTTAGTAAAATATTTCACAAATTTGAGGAACACGGTACAGTACAGACTTTGCCCAAAACTGGACGGGCACGTGCTTTGAATGAAGAAAAGAAATTAGACATTGCATTAGAACTTGTTGAAAATCCTCATACTTCAACTGTTTCATTGGCCCGCAATCACGATGCTTCTCGAACTGCAATTCGAATGTTTCTGAAACAAGAGAAATACCACCCCTATAAGGTATGTCTTGTCCAAGAGCTTTTGGAAGACGATTATGATAGGCGATTACAATTTTGTGAGGAAATGATGAGACGGTGTGACGACAATAATGGTTTTCAACGAGACGTACTTTTTTCGGATGAAGCTACGTTTTATTTAAATGGAGTGGTTAACAGGCACAACTATCGCTTTTGGTCCCAGGAAAATCCACACTGGACATGCGAATCGCATACGCAGCATCCACAAAAAGTTAATGTATGGGCAGGTATCATCAACAACAGAATCTTGGGCCCATTCTTTTTTGAAGAAAATCTTACTGCCGCACGCTACCTGGATTTCCTAACATTTGACCTGATACCTGCTCTAGCTGTGATTTTCCCTCATGAAATTGATCCAGATATACCGAATGAAAGAATTTGGTTCCAACAAGATGGCGCTCCCCCACATTTTGGTATTGATGTTCGAAGATACTTAGATGAAATGTTTCCAAATCGCTGGATTGGTAGACGGGGTACAGTTGAATGGCCGCCAAGATCCCCCGACTTAACACCCCTGGATTATTTTCTTTGGGGATATTTGAAAGAAAGAGTCTACCAGGACAGACCGGATAATATTGAGAATTTAAAGAACAAGATTAGGGCGGAGATGCATAATTTACCAGCTGAAGTCATTCAGAATGCTGTGGACAGCTTTTACTATCGTCTTGGAGAATGCCAAATAGTGAATGGAGGACATTTTCAGCATTTGCGACATTGAGTTTATTTTTGTAAATTATCTAGTTGTTTCAATTTCTAAATGAAAAAAAACTTGTTATTGAAAAAATAAAACTTGTTTATTTGGTATGGCTGGATTCGGTTTTCTATAAGCTTTTCAACGAGCCCCCTCATGCCTTATGTTTCCATTTGAAAAAAAAAGTAGGGGTAGCTGGGGGTTAGGGGGTTGAAGAAAAATTAATTATTATATAACCGAAAGATGGGAAAAAATCAAAATCAGTTAACGTGTTTCGGCGTTTTAAAAAAAATTAACTCATTCAAAAGATATGAATTTTAATCCGTACTTCTGGCCATCCCTGTATAAAATTTAACATCAGCACAGTAAAATTTTTCCACAGAAAAGTTAAGTATTAATCTTGAAAGAAGCATAATATTCAATTAAAAAACATTATATGAATCAAACAAGAATTCATTCAAAGACGCTAATGTAATTACCTTTTCACTTGCAACTAAATTACGACATTAAGTTATCCCATCCACAAGCAATTATCGTTCACAAACACTTTAATTCACAGCAATTATTGTCACACTTCAATGATTTAAATTAATCCCACTTGAACATCACTTATAATATTACTGCAATTAATGTGAGCGCCCGCTGAAAACTTACCGAATACGGGAAACCGCGCGATATTAAAGCACTTCAACTTATTTCAGCAACGACTACCGTTTCCATTATAACAAGTTTCAGGCGATAGTTTGACTGATATGAATTTTGGCAACATTACGATGCACATGGTGGTTCCTTTGGCAAACAGTTATTATAACGTAAGAGACACGTAGCATAAAACAAACATTTATATTTTCAGGTCTGTAATTGGATATTTTGAAGTTTGAGTCTAGACGGAACAGGGAATTGAATGAAAGTTTTGCAGGTAACAGTTTACGTTTGGAATTACATCATTTAATGGATAAGATATTTTTAAACTTAAAGGTCAGTAGCATATATCTTACATTGATGCAGAATGGTGGGGCAAGGTTGCAACGTATTTTTTTCAGAAGGGGCTACAAAGAAAACTGAAAATAGAAAACTATTTAATATTAAAAATACAATGTGTATCTTCTGTGTTATTTAATTAACGTAATTGTCTGTAGAAATACATATAATGATTTCTTCTTTGCAGAAAAATACCTATTTTGTAATAGATACTAGAGACATTGGTATATTTAAAAAAAAATTCGAATTGTGTACATGTGGCGTCCATCAAAAGGATTACATATATGTATTGGAAAAATATGTGCCATTTAAAAGTTATTTTCAATTCCACTGATAAAGATATCTTGTAATACAGGTTAATAATAATAATTTTTTAGATTTTTAGATCGATTAAATTGGTTACATTGTTTACATTGTGTTAGATTGATGTTTTTAGAAAGTATGTTTTTTACTCTGGCAATTCTGTTTACAGTAAAATTGTTAAATAAGCGAAATTTAAAATTGTAATTGCACTGTTTCCTTTGAGGGTTGCTTTCGATGTGCTGCAAAATGTGCTCTTTCAACAGTGAAATTAAAGGTATTATTATTGAAAACAAAGTTAGTGAAAAAGAAGTGTTGTCGGGGCGAGCGTTCGCTGAAGAGTCTTGGTGTAGAGTCGTTCGCAGATATAAGTATCTGGTCCTTGGTGCCAATCTGCCGTGGTCCTCTTCCGAGAACCATATCCCGCGTTGCACATTGTTCATTGTCACTTGCAACGGTTAGGCCGACTGGCGTCAGTCTGGCGCTCTTGACGTAATACCTACAATGGGTCACTTCCAGACGTGTACCCACACCCTTCAAGGCATATTGCTTGCTAATAAACAATTGAACTCAATTTCGTTTATCAGTGAAGTTGAAAATAACTTTTTAATAAATTTTGTATGCATTTATAAAACATTTTTCCAGCCCAAAGTGAAGTACACCGTGGCACAAAAAAGTTTTGGCAGTTTAAATGCGTCCTAATGGTCGCTTATGGCGCCCTCTAGCTGAAGCAACGAAATCGTCGATAAATTCGAATTTTTCATGCCAAAAAACCCCCAGATACGAAATTAGTTCGAAATAGTCGAAAGATATTAAAACAAAATGTTATTTTTCAACTTCAACAGCTTGTAGCTGCGTTATTATCAATATTTGAACTAAGACAATTTTAATTAAATCGACTTATTTTGAGCCGTACTATAGATCTGGTGGAGCGTTGTATAAACCTTTTAGAGACACCCTGTATATTTGATATTTGTTTTCAAATTTTTAATAACTCAAAAACTGATTTTAGGAAGAGATACGAAGGTTCAAGTAAAAAAATCGGAAATTGTTTCTATTTTACAATATACGCTTTTCAAAATTGTTTCTAACATTCCTTTTACAGTAATTTAATGTAGGCAAAAGTCATACATAATTGCCTATCATACAATTCATAAATATCAATCTAACTTCATTTTACACTCTAAAAAAATTTCACTGAAATTTAATTCAATTTTACTCAATAATGTATCAATTTCTGTGCACACCCGATTGAGTGAAATTTTCACTCTATTAGGATGAGTTCAACTAAAATTTTATGAGTGAAACTATTGCATCAGAAATGAATGAGTTTTACTCAAATGCGAGTTACTGCTAACTATCAATTGAGCGACTCTATTCTGAGTATATAAAACCAAGAGAGTTGACTTTTCCTGTAATATGATTTAAATCTAACTTATTGAATCATTTTTTACTCAGACTTGGTTTTTAATTAACTAAATATTGAGTGCAAAAATAAATCAATCATAAATGATTAATTAGGATATGGATATACCGTGTTGAAATTAATTCACTTCGCGTGGCCTCCTCCTGTCCTGGCTGAGACCTGCCAGCTGAGACCCGCCGCCACCTGCGAAGGCCTGTTCTCCTGGTGATCACGCATTGCTGTAGCATTTAACGGGCCCATATCAACAATTGTGGTCGGGATTACAGAAGCAATATGTAAGTGGTTCCATCTTCACAGCGCCATTCAAATTACTCGAAATTAATATACATATAATGAGGACATTTACTCTGATTTAGGTACAAGTGCACCAAATACGAGTTTAAGTGAATAATTTATTTAAGAAGTACTATATTTGACTGAAAGTACTCAGTTTTAGTTTAAATATATATGAGTAAAATGGATTTAAATTTTTTCAATACCTGCTTTCTGCATTAAGGAAAATGGATAGGAATAGGAATGCATATAAATAAATTAATGAAGATTTTGTATATAAGTACTTGATAATTTTAAGGTAAGATAGAATAGGAAACAATAGTTTCCTCAAAGTATCTCGACATAAAGACAACAATGGAAAAAGTTAAAGGTCCCAAAAAGAATTAGCTTCAATTTTATAACCATACTTTCTGTAAAACAACGCCAAGAACTGAATAGAAAAGTGTTTTGTCTGGAAAAGCCCATACGAGTGTACAGGATATTTATAAACTTACAGAGGATTTTTTAATGGTAAGTAAAATGTATGAATAAGAAGCATGTTCAATAAAAATCAAAATCGTTGAAAATTATTAAAAACTTTACTCTTTAAATATAGTCTCCAATTTATAAGCACTCTGTATACAACACTCATTCGCTTATTAGGTTGTAAAGAACACATTCCAGCTTTCCAGCAATATATTTTATAACACTTTTTTATTTCTTTGCATTTCTATAGAACGAAAATTTTTGTAGATACGATTCTGTCTAATTTATTTTCGGAACATAGTATCTTAACTTGTATCTCCCACTCCATTCACCACTGAAATAAACTCCGCTGTTCGAAATGTTGTTTATGTTACTAAATATTTTTACGAATCATTATGTCAGCTATTGGGTTTATGAATTTCATATTTATAGGTCATAATAATAATCATTGCTCTGTACAGAAACTAATTTAAATGAGGAGAGAAAATATGTGATATGAAGCTTTATATTAATTTTGTAAGGCTGATAATATTTTGTGGTAAAATAACTACTTTTATATCTTAAATAGGGCACCCTACGTTTTTCGCTCATCTCGGCTTAAAATAAAATATATTGATATGAGATTGAATTCCTATTAACTAACATATTTGCCGAAAACATCTACAGGGTGTCCCGGTACTTGATACAAAAAAGTCGGATATAAATAGATGAGGTCAAAATAATATCAGTTCTTCATATAAATTTTTTTCATACGGGCCTTCTTTAACAAGTTACGAGCCCTCAAAGGTGAAAATTAAAAAGTTATTTTTATTTACAGTCTCTAAACTATTAACTTCAGCATGATGCAAATTTGGTGGTCGATAACACATGTATATAGCTTGTTTTTGATGCTGTAAGTAAAACTTTATTATATCCATAACGGCAGGGATGGACTATGCCCAATGGTTAACAACCCAGAATATTTGCATAGATCACAATCTACCTGGGACGATTCACGTAAAATCGATCAAGCCTGTGCCCAAAATTTGAGAGCACCTACGAAGATGGTTTTTGGCTTTAAAAATTCGTACTTTAAGATGCTAATTGGCAGAATTGAAAAATCCAAGATGGCGGACATAATATGGCGTATAGAAGTATGAGAAAAATAGAGAATCGTCCGATAAACTTCTCACAGTAATCAGATTAACGACAAATTCATACCCAAATACCGTGAACAGCTGACCTTGACATCGTTGGACATGAGTATGAAGTTATTTTTCAAAAATTCAAGATGGCGAATTTCATATAGGGACTTGTAAGGCTAAAAAGCCTGAAATCGTCATTCAAAGGGAAGTGAACTGTCGATTACACCCATACACCTTATCTGAACAGATATTTTTCATGTTTTTCAGGCCACTGGAACGTGACGTTGAGTCTGTTTGTTGGTATAATATCATATATCGATTCTAACCTCAAAAATATTTGAAAAATCTCGATTTTTCGTCGATATAGCGAGCTAAACCTCAAAATAATTTTCATGTTTTTGGGGTCGCTGAAACATGATAATTGAGTTTTTTGATGGTATCAACTGATCCTAACCTCAAAAGTATTTGAGAAATCTGGATTTTTTGTTGATATAGCGAGTTAAACTTTAAAAGAATAGACAATTTTCGTGTTTCTATGGTCACTAAAATGTGAAATGGATACGATTCGATATTGTGGTGTTTTTTTTTTCAGTTAATTATTTGGCAAGAAAGCAATTTTTCTAATCTATAGTCAAATAAATGTCATCTAGAATAGCTTTTCTTTATAAACGTCATTAAGAGATGTACCCAGTGAATATTCCGTGACTCCCGATCAATTTGTGATAATTTCAACAATTGATATAGGATCCTTCAGTGAGCAGGCGTTAGAATAATAATAATAAAATAATTAATTGGAAAAAAACACCACAATATCGAATCGTCTCCATTTCACATTTTAGTGACCACAGGAACATGAAAATTGTCTATTCTTTTAAAGTTTAGCTAGCTATATAAACAAAAAATCGAAATTTCTCAAATACTTTTGAGATTAGGATCAGTATATGATATGATACCATAAAAAAACTCATCATCATATTTCAGCGACCCCACAAACATTAAAATTGTCTATTCTTTTGAGGTTTAGCTCGCTATATCAACGAAAAATCGAGATTTTTTTAAATATTTTTGAGGTTAGAATCGATAT